ACCCCTCCACAACCGGTTAACCCGAACCAGGTGAAGACCGGGCAGAATACCATTTCTGGTTTGGAGGTTTCCAATTCCTAATCTACAGTTTAATGGTTATAATTACATTTTTATTATAATAAGCTTCTTGCATAGATTTGCATCAAGCACAAATGCAAGGAATCCTCTTGAACTTTGCACTAAGACAAAGGAAAGGAAGAGAAAGGTAGAATTTGTTCTTGCTGTTTAGCAAACAACTCTGGTAAATTTCACTGGATATTGCATATTGAAATTTCTATAGCAAAAGTGTAATCACCTTTTGAACGTCCGTAATGGGTTGATAGTTTGGAGGAATCAATGCCAACTGCTAAACCAGTTACCACTTTTTAAAAAAAAAAGGAATTGAAGAAAGTGAATTTCAGGCTTTCGAATAATGTGCTTGGGAATTCTTAAAAATATATTAAATTAAGCATGTTTGAGCTTAAGCAGAAGTTAAGATAACAAAATGTTTCATGCATTTTTTTCTTTTTCTTCAAAAAGCAAAATGAAGCAAATATCAAATGGTGATGTGACTCAATAGTTGGGTTATCATACATAAAGTGAACCCCTGGGAGAGTCAACCATCATAAGTTTTTCAATCAAGTTTCTTAAGTCACTTGTTTCTGGTTCCTGGTTGTGTGCCTAAATCAGACCTTTGGATGAGGCTGGAATGATTCTAATTAGAACTTGTGGCCAAAAACCATGTAAGCCATTGGCTCAAACCAGGGCTGGGTTCCGGCAGTCTCTACTGCTGGTTTGCTTGAGGGTGCGCTGTGCGCATGTACACACCCTAAATGCACGCTGCCCATGCATGCACAATACAATAAAAATTGTTCTGCACAGGTTCAGAAGCAAAAAAACAAGATGGCGGCGCCTATGGCGGCACCCAGAAAACGACCCAGGCCACCAAACCACTACCAATTCAGCCGAACCGGTCCAAACCGGTAGGAACCCACCACTGGCTCAAACTAATCTTGAATCCAAGCGCCTGGCTCTTTTGACTCTTCAAAACAAATTCCACATTCCTTGGTGGAGACTACTTGCTATCTCCCTAAGGTATGCTGGATCTATTCATTCCAGTGAGGACTTGTTCAGGCAAAGCATTTTTTAAACATTGTGCCAATTAGTCTGCAGCTTAGTGGTTTATGTATTTTATATTTGGGGATCACTTCTCCCACCTTTATAATCTCTTTGCCTCCCCTCCTTCAGATGGGCATAGGTAATCCAGAGCAACCCCAATCCATAGTACAAAGAAATAGGCAAAGTGTTCATCAAATGCTTTTATTTCAAGGACCAATACTTTCCCCATGTCCTCCTTTGAGGAGAAAAGAGATTCAGGCAAATCCCTATATCTAGCTGCCTTTTGCCTTCATGCTTGCTATCATATCATGCACTTTCTTGTTCAGGGCTCCTCCATGGACCCCCTTTTTGCCCATGAGAAAGATAAGAGCTTTGGAAGATTTCCCAATGCAGATGGACCTACTGTCACCACCTTTGGTTCGGGTGTCCATGACAGCATCTTTCTCTAATAGCAAGTTGTCACGGATCACACTGCACTTTTTTCCAGCAATGGTGATCCCAGTTTGTAGGAAAGATTTTCTATCCTGCCCAGTGATCAGCCCAACTTCCTGAGGAGAAATGGCTGCCAACAGACCTCCTGGTTTAGATGCCCATACACACTTATTGTCAGAATGTCCAACGATTGCTACGTCTTCAATATTCTTGTCTTTCAGGACTGTATTGATGTAAGCTTTCCAGTCTCCCATGCTGCTTCAGCTCTTGTGGCTTCTTTAACAAGCACTTCTTCTTTTGGTCTCAGGATGTGGGATATTTTTTCAGATTAATCCTAAAAACAAAATCTAGATGTATTTTTAAAAAAATCCACCTGCTTTTCCCTAAGGTATCACCATCATGCTCCTTTAATTTCAAGTGATGTCATTAAACCTTCCAAAATATCATTTTGGAGCAACAAAATTACTTCCATATTTTTTCCTCATAAACAAGCTTTAATTTCTTGAGAACCTCAAATGATTTGATTTCCCCCTTTTAAAAAAAGATTCAATAGCAAGAAGCCTCCCAAAAACAGAACATTATGCTCCTGCTTACTGTAAAAGTGTAGCCCTTGAAGGACCTGTTTTTTAAAAAATACATCATCCCACGCACTCTTAAAAACATCTCTGTATCCATAAAGTTATATATACTATCTTCATCAAACCAGATTGCAAGACGATTTACAGGAATGTAATAGAATTACCCCAAACTGTTTCCTCCACAATTTCTAATAAGGCATAAAATAGCAAGCACAAAGTTTAAAATTCAAGCCATTAAAACAACTCCACCAGAGCAATGCCTGTAGATAAAACAGGTGAAAGAGCTGTATTGTTATAAGAGTGATAATGATGGAGTTAAATTAGAAACATCCTGGATCAAATCCCTACTCAACTATGAAAAGTGCAGTTTAGGTTGTCTTGCAGGCTTATAAAGCTTGAACAGATGAAAAAGTTAATTCCTAAAAGAAAGATGAAATGTAAATGTAATAAATCAGGGCCCCATTTCTTTTTTTATGTCTCGCAGAGCCCATTTGGTAACCAGTACAACAGTAGAAAGAAAGCTGCTCATGTTTTTATTTAGTACTATTATACTAAAGGCAACTCCATATGTAACGCCTCTTGTAGACCAGCTGGGAAGTTACCAAAATAAAATTATTTCTGTGTAGAAATAGTGGGTGAATCAGCATAGCTACTAAAAGTATTTTCTATGTCACAACCACCATCAGTTGGAGCCCTAAAAATAAGTATAAGCGGAAAATCAATTCCGGTTCAAAATTGAATCTTTTCATCTGGGGATGCCTCATAGAGAACTAGCTGGTTACTATCTCCCCAAACAAAGGAAAAACTTACTTGAAATACCTCCAGAGGTAACATTAGCTTGAGGAGTTCCACCAGTTGGGATGAAAGGACTTGAAAAAGATGCTTTTGGGAAAGTGGAAACCTCAAATTCTAGCTCAGAAGTCTGGGCTCATGGAGAGCTGGAAATAATCTCCTGGGCACTTGAAATCTCAGGTGTCAAAAAGACAGAGATCATACCCACCTAGCCAGCCAAAGGCACTCTGAGCTCACAAGGCAATTATTGTTGTATTTATGCTTCAATTGTTGCTAAGGCCCCCTTTGTGACATCAGAAGTATCTTCCCCACTGCAGGCAACCCTTTATGACCTCATATCACCAAGGAAAGCAGATGTCTCCTTCCTTCTTTCTAGCTGTCTTGAAAGGAACAAAAATATTTCTTTTTTGCGTTTCATTTCCCTGGGAGGCATACAGTACTGTAGGGATGTAGAAATAGGCTTCAGGATTTCAAATGGCTGACTCAAGTCTTGGATGTAATCCCCACAGCTCTTTATAAAATTATTACTGAACTGTAATTTTTAATGCAGTAGAATAGTTAAGTCCTTCAACAAATGGAAATAATCATATTTATTGAATGTATCTGCATTTATGTTACATTTTACATTTATTGATTTTTAATTAGGTAGATTTTAAAATACTTTAATGGAAGCTGATCAAAACTTAATTGTAATAGAGTTATAATCAATAACGGAAGTTAGGTTATATTTATTAAAGATTGTAGCTAAACAAGGCAATTAATTTCTTTAGGTTATTTAAAATCATGCTGCAACTGTGCAAAGTAACATTATGCAACATGAAATTATTCCTGAATGTATATTTTGAAATAAATTCTATTGATATCGACTGGTTTAAAAGAAACACTAATTCAAGAATAAATTCCATCATCTGTGTGTGCTTGATGCCAAAGGCTCTTCGTGGCCAAAATAAATAAAATAAAATGACATCCAGGAAGGAAGGAAGGAAAGGAGGGAGGGTTGGAAAAAATGTCCTCCTGAAATATCCTCCTGGGTTCAGTTCCAAGTGGAGAAAAAGACACTGGAAACATCGAGGCTGCTTTGAAAGATGGTTTAATGGTGGACAGGACCACATAGCTTGAGGGCTTGAACAGAAAAGGTGATCACATGCTTCAAGATGCTGAGTGAAGAAGAAGGAAAAGAAGGGGCTTGCTGGGTTTTTTATGCTCTGTTCGTCCCCAGACTCCCCACCTCTCTGTTTCCTGTTCCTGTGTAAGAAATGTATTCTGATTGGTTGTCAGGCTCCCATGGGGCCATGCAGGGGCAACTCTCTAGGCTGTGTTTTGAGTCCAAGTTTGGTTGAGTTCCCAGATGCCATGTGGTGAGTTTCTGTAGAATGCTAATCCTATCTTTAGTATGTAAAGTAGACTAGCTCAGGCTTTAATGACTCATTGACAAAGATGATGGGGGGCAGGAAGCTGCAGGGAGCTACTCTGTCTTTAAAAACAGGTTTCTCCCTTTTCACATCCAGGGAAATATAATATTCTGCCTTCTTAATATTTCCCAGGATATTTTAGTTTTCCAGCAGAGGGGTGAGTTTTAACTTCATACAGAAGGAAGGCACACACATTCATACATAAATACACAAACAAACATACATATAGTATATGGATCTTAAAATTTTGCAAATCCATTGGAATTTTCAATATTTTGGCATAAATATGACCTCAATTGTGATGATGCAAGTCCTAAAATTAAATAAAAAACCCAATTGAACAAATGAGTCAAAAATATGATACTTGTTCATTTATTCATTGAGGAAAAGGTTCCCAAATTATTTGTTTGTGGCAAAGGGGTGATTAGCTCCTCTCTCATGAATGCCACTGAGCTTCCACACTCTAGAAGACCATGTCCTGGAGTTGGTTTGTGCAGCTAGATTGTTCAGAGACTTGAACTAAATTCTGGCTGCAATCCTGTTGTATTTGTACATATCCAATAAACATTATGTCTCCTCAAACTTGTTTGTGACTGATAGCAGTACAGAGTTTGAGAGGCCCTGCTTTAACCTAATCTGGCTCATTTGCCTTCCAGTTAAACATTAATCTTGTAAATTGACTAACTCAAACATAAACAGGAGAAAGAGAAGAAATTGAGTGTTTTGTGCTAACCCAAACTGTTGCAGAAATAATATTAAGGAACACAGCATTGGTGTCCCTTATTACAATACCATCATTTGTGCATGTTTCTTGGAATCAGTTGTTGAGAAAGGGAAAATGAATTCTGGGTGGAAAAGGAGTGGTATGTTGGCATACCACCAATATAGATAGCAACATTTGGTTACTGAGCTATAAAAGAGATTAACAATCCAGAAAGCCAGGTTGTTGGTTTTTTTTTGGGGGGGGGGGTTGCATCTGTCTAGAATGCTTTAGACCAGTTGTGGAGAAAATACTTAGATTACAGTAGATGTTATATATTTACCCGAGAAAATGGTCACCGGGCTTGGAGTCTTATCTAGGTTGCTTTTATGCTTGAGATTCCACGTATCTGGTTACTGCTATGAAGACAGCTGGAGGATCAAAACCAACCCGTCAAGTTTTCATGCAGAACAACAAAGTTGGAAGGGACCTTGAAGGTCATTTTCCTTATAAATTCAGCCATCCATTTGCATTCAACTGTTTTCATTTTAAATTCTGGTGCACAATACTGTGTTTAACGCGGTCCTAGCCTGCCTTCTATTAAACGACAGGCTTTAGGTACCCCAGCCAGCCAAGGCGCAACAAGAGACCCAGCCGCTAAGTAAACCCAGCCTCTCTGCCGCCCCATAGGTTTATTCGGCCGAGCTCCAGCCCCGCTCTCCGGCCTCCGGAATGTTGAAGGGACGGGTAGCTCCGCCTGTCCCAAACGAGCGGCTCTCAAAATCTTCCGCCCCGCTACGGCGCTGTTTCTGCACGGTTTTGTTCGCGTCGTCGCCATGACGGGCTCCCGTTCGTTTTCACTGACGAAGCTCGGGCTGAGCCCGCTCCCCGTCTCCGCCGCCCTAGCTGTGCTGGTTACGCTGGGAATGGCCGCGGCTTGGTACTGGCGATGGAGGGACCGGCGAAGGCCGCTGCGGTTGAAGCAGGTGGGCACGGTGTCCGGGCTTTTCATCTACCCGATCAAGTCTTGCAGGGGCGTAGCCGTGCAGCAGGCCGAAGTAACGAAGTTGGGGCTCCGGGACGGAGATCTGCGCGACAGGTAGGGGTTCAGAGGTCGGCGTGGGGATGGGGCACGAGATAAATACGTCCACGTCCGTCGTTTTGGCTGGGAAAGGAGCAGCTCTTACTGCCTAATGCGGCATTGCTTCAAGCAAGCTCCTAGCATTACCATTACTTGGTGTAGCTGTTCTGAATTTCGGGTCACGTTCTCAGAACTGGCTGCATTGGGCAACAAGTAAAGTCGCAACTCCTGGTTTAAAAACCTCAGAGGCTGAATTTTTATTCAAGCATTAATCCAAAATCACATCAGGTTTGAAGTGACCTACATATTTTTCTCCTTTTCTTGGTGTGTGTTTCTGCATTAATTAGTGGTTCTTCCAGGCAGGGCTTTTATTTGTTGGGATAAAATTAGCAATTTTAGGGAAGCCTCTTTCCTTGGTGACCTCTCTGTATTTTTCTGCCCCCTCTTGTGTTTCTTTCCTTACCAGGTAAACAAAAATCAGTTAAACGAATCCTCAAACTTTGTATACTGTGATTTCCTGAAACAATACATGCATTTGTGCAACCCCCTCTCCCCATAAAACTAGTGATTTCAAGAAAAAAAATGAGATAGTTGCATTTTAAGCTTAAAGTTTACTATAGTGGTCCCTAATGTTTGTGACACTAAACCAGGCTACTACTAGCAGTTTATTTTGGCAAGGCTGAAGCTGGTGTGCATAGGTAAAGTGAGAATATGTTTTGACAGCACTTCCAGTTGGCCGCTACTTGAAAACAAACAGATGACAGCTCCTCCTTAGGCTATTTTGACTGACTGTTTGAAATACCTTTCAATTGTTTAAAAGCAATTTGGAAGATCTTCAAAAATAAGTAATAATAGAAATACTTGAGAAGTGCATAAGTGGAAACTAGATACTTTATGTTTAGAGATTTATGAATTACATGTGGCTGAGACATAATGATCATCTCATAAAAGCTTTAGATGAAAGAACATTGAATCAGAGTTAAAACAGTATTAGAAGAATAGTTTTTACTATTTCAGTGAATGCTTCCATACTTCAAATTAAGAATGACTATAAGGGAATCTATACATAGGTTGTTGTAGTAGGCTATGAATTGTAGAGTCTTTGCAAAAAGGAAGGGGTTGGATTTAATAGCTTAAATGTCCCCCTTTTTGTGATTTGATTTTGTGTTTTTTATTCTGATATGGTGAATAAGGATACTCCATAATATACCTTACTGATTTGATCAGGATTAAATTATGATAGTTCAAGAGCTTCAAACAACGCAGATGCCTATGCATGTACATACAGAATTTTTTAAATAGCATGTAAATGTACATACAAAAATAAAAATTACTTCTGAAAGTTGCATTCAATTTCCTCTCATTCCTTTCCCCTTTTGATGATAAGCCTCTTCCAATTAATAAAACAAAAATAATAGAAAAATGTGGGTTGCCTTGTAGAAATTCGACCAGGGTTGGATTATTTACAATCCAAACAAGGATAAGGATCTAATTTTTGAATGCTTAATTGCAATGCCAGCTTCTTATGTTTGTCCAGGATTTTCTTTCCCCTTTTTTTATTTACTCTGACACAAATGCTCTGCTAGATGGATTTTCTTCTTTTTTTCATTTTGCTGTGATGCATTTCCTGGCAGACAGTTTACTCTCTGGATAAGCTTTCAAAAGATCTAGTTAAGAGCCTTTTTTTCTCTTAAAAGCAAAAGTGTGCAATTTACACTTAACATTTTTAGGGGTTGAGAGTTCAAAGTGACATTGTGAGTAGAGCTAGGTCTTGGTTGTTTCTTTTTTCATCTGCTTCTCCCTCAGAACTGTAGAACATTGCTGAAAATTGACCCATATGTCATGAGTGGGAAGAACCAGAAAATCCCACTAGGCTACTAGTGCCAGTCTTATCTTAAGAAATGTGCTCTATTCTCACCTATCTAATATGTCTCTGTTGATAAGCAATTGCATGCACACTGTTTTTTCATAGCGCTCAGAATAAGTTAGTCACCCGAGTCCTCAAAGTAGAACTTTTTCATTTATTCATTGGAAATAAAATGGAAATTAATGCTAAATTAGTAGTCTACTGCCTACCGTTCACATTTTAGCATAAGTTACGTTTTGAAAGGTTGAATTGTTTTTAAGTATTTAGAATAGTTTTATATGTTTTTAACTTAGATGTTGGCTTGTGATAAAGGAAGATGGACACATGGTGACTGCTCGACAAGAGCCTCGACTAGTATTGGTCTCTATCAACAATCAAAATGGCTATTTGACTCTGAGTGCTCCAGAAATGAAGGATTGTCATATTCCAGTCAGATTGTCAACCAAAAATCCAGTACGGGACTGCAGGTATTTTTTCTTATATTTTTTTCCAATTTCTCAAACAACAGGGAAAAGATGACTTATATTTAGGAAAAGTACAAAATTAAAACTCTTCACAGTTCTGCATTTCTAAACCAGTCTAGTACCTCCATGATTGCTTCTAGAAAATGCTTAAAGGGATGCTAGTCTCACATATCTTGTATCTCCTTAGTTTGACTCTTATATTAGTCTTGCGCCAACTGACTTTAATAAACCAGTTTAGGATCTATGTCCCTCATGGGGATACCAACAAGAAGATTGATCCCCAGATAATTAATGTATTCTTCTTAATGTACTTCTCAAGTTAACACAGATTGCGTAGAGATATTCACAGCTGATTAATGCAATCTTAAACATTGAAGATAAAAATCCACATTCTAATTGGAGGTATTAAGAATATATAGAAAATAAATAGAATGACATAGAGAATCAAATCTTTTAATTAAATGGAACTATTTTTGTCCATTCATAACCTTTATCCACATAGCATTCCTATTGCTATCGTGCCTGAGTGATTGCAATTTATCATTGGAAGGACAGGACACATTATTGCTCATGCCTTTAGTTCTTTACATTTCAGAAGTAAGGTGGACAAGCTTCTATTACCAGCAGAACTGCTGTAGATTTTCTGGCATGGTGTCTTTTTTTCTCATCCCACCAATAGTTTATCATATTTAACTTACGTTTGAATCGACCGTTGACTTACCTGAACGGTCCTTCTATGTGTGCTGCAAGGGGAATCCAAGCATGGATTGGACTTTGTCCATTAGCCTTGAGACTGAGTTATGTAAATTGGTGACCACGCCTCCACTGGCCGGATGGGCTCAGTTTTCGTACGAAGTCAGCCGTTTATTGATGTATAACAAGAAGAACAATGATAATGTAACAATAATAGTAGTAATGAAGGCCGTAGCCAAAAGGCATAGAAACATAGTCAAGAAAAACGCCAGTCATAAGGAAATAACACCTGACATAAAGCGGTAACATATCAATGAAGATAATGAATTTTAAGACATGACCACCTGGCCAGCCAAAGCTGCGGGCGGGTTTGGATTCCCCTCGCAGCACACACAGAAGGACCATTCAGGTAAGTCAACGGTCGTTCTCCTGTGTGGTACTTGGGGAATCCAAGCATGGGACATGCCAAAGCAATTAAGGTCCAGGGCGGGAACCAGGCTGGCCAGGGTCCCCGGCAGGAGGGAGCACCTGTTGCAATACACGCTGCCCGAAGGA